AACAGATTCGACAGAGACTTCGCGAAAACATGTCTAATTTGATTTGCCCGATGTTCGTTCATCAAACATCATATTTCAGTACAGTACTAATGTAATTTCTCAGTGCATAAAGGTTTCAACTGGACCATGGCATTGTCGTGCGGTCAAACAGATTGAAATGTGACTGCCACATTTAAGTTAGTATGATCTTTTTCCATGTTACCAAATTTAAAATGGTCTCATTCACCATGTCGAAAACGATACTGCATTCATCATAATTAAATACGAAGGTTAGTCAACAGGTTGATTTTTAACTCAGTATTCAGCACAATTGCAGCTTTATGGCGGTGGTCTGTAAACAATCGAGTCTTGATCAGACAATCCAGTGATCAACAGCATGAGCATCGATCTACGTAACTGGGATACGATGACATGCGTCAACCAAGTCAGCGTACCGATCCCGTCAATGGCCTCTTACAACAAGCATGGGTTGCTGAAGATCAATTATAACCCGTGTCTTCACGGATGTTGGTCAACAGAATATTCTCGAATAAGTATTTTACCGCAACACTCTGTAAGCGTTCACTTCCTGCAGATGTTATTGCGACGCGCAATCATACATATTCTTCCGTTGAGGATTACATACGGAAAGTGTTGTTTGATGAAGGTTTCAGGGTTCACAAAGTTTTCTGGGTGACATGTGGTGGAAATTTCTAAACATGACGCGCTTTACTTAAATGTTGGACGAAGGCAATACACTATTAAGATTTTTGCAGTGATATACTTTTTGTTGTTTTTTAGTTGTACAATTATCTTGCCTTTGAATGCATTTATCGCTTGTCACGGGATACAACAGGATGCACTCTCCATTTCGCGAACATATGACACCATCACTATTGATCGTGATTCACAAACACATGGGTTTTTTCTGCAGAGATTTCGGAGTATTCCGGAATGACAACACCCCTCTCTCAAATTACAGTTGGTTTTATTGTGTATTTTACATCCTCAATAAGGGGAACGTTTTTCAAATTTCCAGGTGGTATTAAGCATTTGGTGCGAGGTTATTGTCATTTTAATCTTCGTCGGTTTCAATATTACTGTACAAATGATTCTTCTTTTAGCAGAGGTTTCTTAAGGATGTAGAAACGGTTTGTTGCTTTTAGTTTTATAACATTCAATAAACCGATGTGATCTGACAAGATAACTTAACATATATTGTTCTGCAAAATCTGCATAAGCTGGTACGAAATATATCGTCGTTGGCCGTTGCAATTGTAACAAGAATTTACAGAAGATGACAATCTCCCGCAGACCCCTCGAAATCAAAAGTACAAATCGTCTGATTGCTTCAGCAATTCCTGTCCAACATGATGACTTGTGCGTGAGGTAGCTTGTGTACTAAGATATGACTTATAATAATAGATAAATTAAGAAAACATTAAAAGCATCAGTTTACAAGCTGATCAGTAGGAACTACTGAAGACATTTGGAGATTGTTTTGAGAGATATGAAAACACACATCCCTGTGAAAACGTGGTTGGATAACTTTTAATGACACCGACACAGCAAAAAATGGTTGTTGACCCGGTCTTCATGTGAGCAATTGTGATGACAAAGACTATGTAGTTTGGGTGTTATAGTCTTGGCTAACACACCAATAGTGAGTGAGTTAATTTTATCGTCACATCGGCAATATTTCAGCCATATCGTGACGAGAACATTTTATAATTATATTAAAGATGAATAAAGTAAGAAATTAAAAACCTGTTGACGAAGAACAGTAAAACTACTAGTGTATCACAGATATCCATTTAAAACTAGCAATTAAATCTAAAATATTGGAACTATAAATAACAATACAATATAAAAACAGGCTGTAGATCGCTAACGACTGAAGGTAGATCACCATACTAGGGACCATGGGGACCTACAGTACATTTGCTCCCTGCATGGACCCTAGCTGGATTTACACCATCCCTTCAGCCGTCAGCAAGATGACAATTTAGCCATAAGTGAAAATAACACATATTCTACGCTTAAAATAACGGTATGTTTACATTTACTTTGAATGTTTTTGGACTTACGTACCCCCTAACACACCAATATGAACAATTTGAATCAAATCTAAAATATCTTGTTGTTGAAACGGAAGAGTGAGTTAGTGAGTTAAGATTTAAAGTCACATCGGCAATATTTCAGCCATATCGTGACTAAAACTAGTTCTTGAAACGGAAGAGACCAGGTGCTGATATTGTTTGAATTGCAAAATGCACCAGTTGACAACATGACGTCTGTCTGTGCAACGTTTTTTGAAAGAGTACCTGTTGTGTTATGTGTCATGTTGTTTAAAAAGAAAGGGGGCCACCGGCCCTTTATACACATACATGTCAGAAGGATTCAAGGTATGACATGAAGCGCCATAAAAGTGACGAAATGAACATAGAGGTATAATTGTACAGAGATGTGAACACAAGATCAGCAGGATGCAAAATATTTCATACGTTTTTTCGTAGTTAAAAATGTATATTAAGCAAGGTTGTTTATAACAGTATTATTTTGAGAAGTAAACAGTAGGACTAGCTTGTTTTCAAAGTACCTGTTAGTTCTTGAGATCTTGAGAGGACAGACAAATAGACAGACACGTCAAAATGATTACTGTATCCCCACTTCATTATTTTGTTAAAGGGAGATTTGTCCATGGTCTGTTAATGACTACAGCGTGTAGCTTGGACACAGTCCCTATGTAATTAGGGTTATCATTAGCTGTTATTTTGGTAAATACATAGAGAATCTCGCCCGAGTGTCTTTTGATATCAGTGAGTGAGTGAGTTAATATTTAACGTCACATCGGCAATATTTCAGCCATATTGTGACGAGAACATTTGATATTGAAATTAAATATATATATGTTATAAAAAACCTGTCGACGCCTTTTGATATCAAATATATCACCACGAGTTGAAAAAGTTACAAATATCCGAGGCTTGCCGAGGATATTTTTACTTTTATTAACGAGTGGTTGATATATTTGATATCAGAAGACACGAGGGTGAGATTCTATTTATCGTACAAAATCACTCTTCATTAGTTTTCATTGAAAAAAGTACATCTCTGAACACCGTTCTGCCATTAGACTTGCAGTGCAGCGGTGTCATAGCATTGTGATACATAACACTTTATAAACTAGTAGACAGGGAGCCATTTCTAGTAATATCTTCAACCCCCTAAAAGGTGTAGTTACGGAAACCACTCCATATGATTCCAGTTACCTGGCAACGATATTCGCCATGTCTAACAGTGTGTGCAATGTACAGAATATATCTGCTGGATTATACTACTACTTTCACAACAACTCATTCAAACAGGTTCAGCTACATCGAGACCACATATTAGAGATTCATCACACACAACACTTACAGCGCAAAGAATGTTTAGTGACCAACCAAGAGGGGTTTTTTTTCATTTAATACACGATGTCCCATAAACACATTGTGGCCGAAACTGAAGCAATAAGGAAAAAAGAACATTTTGGCTCATGGTCACACACACGCACGCACGCACACGCTTGCACGCACACCGATCAAAAGGCCAATCCCCATGCTGGTTGTTTAAGTAGAAACAGCTGATCCGTCACACAACAACAGAGAAACGAATCTCATCCTACCGAGTCAGCCAGTTGAACACACAAACGCACGAAACACTCCTATAGAATACAGCTTCTTTGAAGCTAGCTTACTTGTTACAATCATCGCGTTACATGTGGCTGGATCAATGAGGTTTCGGCAGGCTGAGGCTGCTTGATTTGTATGATCACTTACAAACACCGAGCCTGTCGATAGTAATGTTCTTACCGAACTGACCCTGTTGGGCTCACTTTGAGCTTTTTGTAAGATACTTCCTTATATAAAGTAGCATGCAGGGAATGGCTTTGATCATTCGAGCGACGGAAGGACGGGCGGACGAACGAACGAAGGAACCAATGAACGAACCAACGTACGAATCAACCAACCGAACAACATATCAGTGAACCAACCTATCTGACATCTTAGTCTTTATTCATGTAAATGTAGGCCATCGGCCCATGGTACAACGTTATACATTGGCAGCCTTCAAGCTGTAGCGACGACGATTGTTAGCATAGAAGATGAACATGGCAAGATTTCTTAAAACCAGAGGAGTAGCATTACTCATCAGTCGACTAAATTTACACAAGGTTGGATGGGTGACAACTTCGACAGGGATAAAACGTTTACGTAGATCATCTTAGGCAGTACATATCAATAAGAAGTGCTACTCATTTTCTACATATTTACAGGAACACATTTCACACAATCTTAAGCATTTTTGGTTTATTTATATATCTACCAGTTTCTATATTCAATTGGTGTGAACTACACTTGAACCTCGCTAAGGCAATACGAAATTTCTTGATATTTATGCAATGGATATATGGCTCAACACCAAAAATGAATATAAATTGAGAATATAGGTCACCAAACAACGAATGGACGGACGGACGGACGAAATGAAGGTAGGGAGACAGATAGACAGACAGGTGGACAGACATGTTCTTTATGTGACCATGAGGCCAATAGTTCAATGACATTTTGTTACAGGAAAATTCGTCGTGGATTACCGTTTGTATATAACATTTGATCACATGTTGACACCATAGTTTAATCAAGACAGTGTATCATGTTCCTATATCTTACGACCGCCTCCGTGGTATAGTGGTTTGAGCGTCCGCCCGGTGAGCGGAAGGTCACGGGTTCGATCCCCGACCGCGTCATACCAAAAGACGTTAAAATATGGTACTTGTTGGTCCCTGCCTGGCGCTCGGCATTAATGGGTACAACAAGGACTGGTCAGCTTGGAGTCAGTATAATGTGTCTGAGTGGGGCATTCATGCTTCACTGCGGCATGGTATCTCAGTGGGCTAGCACTATAAAACCAGCTTAAGTCTGGGCTATTACAAGCAGCCGAACATACACATATACACGCATGCACGTCGTCATATGAGCGAAATATTCTCAAGCACGACGTTAAACCCGATTTCACCTCACCTCCTAAATCTTACTGACAAAACCGGCAAGACAGAAGAATGTTACCATTTATGCCATTCATTAACTGAGCAAACAGTCTTTGTGTAGGATACTTGTAATGGTTGGCATGTATTTGGTTCCAGTATATTCTCATACAGGACATAATAATGGCATGAGTTTCATCTCTTGGTAGTAATTGCAGAAAGAGAACGTGTCTTCAGAATGTGTCTACAACCGAATATGAAACATGAAATAACACATGTGAACTTTCTTAAACATCAGTGTAAATACATAAATTGAACATATCTTGAAGTTTTATATGTACTAACCTGTCTTAGTGAAACGCATATTTACATCGTTGCTTGAACATATATGATACATGCTGTCGTACCCAACCCAACTGCATCAATCGATGATCAATCATGATGTTGATCACTTGATTGTCTGGTCCAGACTCCATTCGTTTACAGACTGCCACCAAAAAACAGGAATATTGCTGAGTGTGGCGTTAAACAACGACCAAACAACCAAGCAAACATGTTTCGATATCCCTGAATATCTAAATCATGAAAAAGGATCGTTCAGTAACTTGTATTCTGTGATGTCGTGTATGAAAATGGTGATGAAACCTTTTTGATCCAAACAATGCAAACCTTCTGTTTCAGTGTTTGATTTTTACTTCGCTTTACTTGTCCATGAGTGAAAATTGTCGTCATTTTGGATTTTATGACTCAACTAAGGGACTCCAGTTGGGGAGGCTGGAAACAAGGCGGTAAAAAGGGGGCACCCTAAACAATATCACAGCAATATGGGGAAGGGAAGGGGTGATTCATGGACAAATAAACCACAACCCACCCACACCTGATATATTTCTAAGTAGGATATGTTTCTCCTGACTGACTGAGCACGTAGTGCATGGCTGGGCTGTATTAATTACATAGATTCGATATTGCTAGCTTTGGAAAACATTGCATAAACAAACAAACATTTCAGACAACCAGAGTATCCATCTAATCCTCACGACGTGCCATATGTCCACATTCAATGTTTTTCTTAATACAAACATCTATAAGCTGAACGCACTTACATACAGTGTCGGATGTGAGATCCTTCTTTAGCCTAATAAATACTCCATCACATTTCAGTTACTTCCAGCAGTACACCTCTATGTTAATAGAATGCTAAGGAAGGACGCCAGTTCAACAGGAATATCACTTCAGCATTGCGATGAGCCGCAGGACAGTTTCTAATCATCTAATTGGTTACAAGTAGCCTGGTGAACGTTTGCGGTAATTTGATGTGCCGTTTGAACTCCATTTCGTAAATCCTGGTTTAGGATTAATCGATCCTGTACTTTTGTTGACCTGGGACGCATTGAACCGGGTCGATCGTCAACAGTTTTGGGTTTGTTGCTACCTGTTTTATAGTACGCTAATCACAGAATGTGAAACACTGGAAATTTCCCGTATGCCAACAGCCCTCAGAAGCTCGCGGGTTGCATATTCCTCATCGTTACTTCATTCACCAACAATGAATAAAATTAGGCAAATCTTGTGTATATTGATTACGTGTCATGTACACCTTTCCACCAAGAATTTCGTATACTGTTTGGACCCTGGGTCTTAGGCCCCTAATACTGAATAAAAGATTTGAATAGAATGAATGAAATCAGGCAAATCACAAGTGTGTGATAAACAACATCAGCAAGAAACCTTGTCCACAGATTCATTGACCATCGTTGAGTAACTGATTCAACTGCCTCAAGAGCATTCAGTGTGATATATATGTAGATGTATCTTGGCTACAAACATTTTCGCTACCCCGAACTTCCACTTTTCCAAAAGCCTCTCGACGCACCCTATATTATTTTCTAAAAGGTGTCTTAACTTTATCACCTAACAAGTAAACGTGCATCACAAATCACCACATACAGAACATATCTCTGACAGAAATATAATTTCAACATGTTAGGAAGCCTGCGTGCAGATATGCATCAAACCAAAAGTACATCACCAAGATCTGTGTTTCTACTTTACAGAAGCGCAATACTCACCTATCACTCCCTATATGTCATCACTCTTCTGGATAAGCTTTTCCATTTGCGAGATACGATCGTTGATAGCATTCACCGACTAAAGAGACTCCGCATACTGCAAATGTTTCCTAACTTGATTTCATCTTTAAGCCATCTTTTTACCTTAAAACAGCTATTGACAACAGAGCTAAGGCGCCTGCACGTCAGAAAATATCAATGCTCCGAATTCCTCACATACATGTAACTTGCCCGTACAGAAACACCGCGAATCTCCTAGATAGCACATCTGACGTTCACTTTATGCTCTAAAACAAACTTTAGAAAATCAATTGCAACGTGATGTATTCGACTTGACATATAGCACCCTCTCACAAAGTGTCCACTCCCGCCCAGTTAGTGCTGTTGTGTCAAGGAAACGTACCATAAAACTTAAACCTCATGCTACTGTTTGTCCTCAAGATCGTTATTGCCGAGCTGTAATTGTTGAACTGCCATTACTGTATAGTTATTGATTACCAGTCATTGAGAAGAGCCATTGCTGAAATACAATGCCCTAATCTTAACTGCGTTGTTCTTTTCCGTACCTTTATTGCAAAACTCTTATAACGGAACAGTAAGTAGGGATTTGATTTACTGAACTGTTATTGGCCAACCGCTATTCAATAATTATTATTGCTGAAGGGTCATTAAAACTGTTTTTATTGCCAACTATTACTGCCTAACCTCTCTTTTACAATTGTATTGCTACAGTGTCAGAGCTGTTAGTTACAAACGTCCACTGCTGAAAAGCTAATTGTTGTTGCTATGGTGGTATTAGAAGCGTTATTGCCGAAAACATATTCTAAACTTGCTGAAATATTGCTAGAACTGCCAGGGACATACTGTGTTATCTGAACCATTATTACAAACTCGCACTGGCGAACATATTTTTTTATCGTTGCTGTTCATGAGTTACTGGAACTGTTATTACGAAAATGTTACTGCCGTACAGCTTTTCTATGAATTGTTTGATCTACATCGAAAGTTCTGTCATCTGCGTAGAAGCTACTTTCGTTTCAATGTATGGTATTTTAACTGTGAGTCAGTGAGTGAGTTAAGTTTTACGCCGCACTTCCAGCTATATGGCGGCGGTCTGTAAATAATCGAGTCTGGACCAGACAATCCAGTGATCAACAGCATGAGCATCGATCTGCGCAATTGGGAACCGATGACATGTGTTAACCAAGCCTGACCACCCGATCCCGTTAATCGCCTCTTACGACAAGCATGGGTTACTGATGATCAGTTCTAACCCGGACCTTCACGGGTCTTTAATTGTGAGTATCATTACTGAGACCATTGTGTTGTATTGTGAAGTCACTTGTTAAATGTAGTTTAAACAAACATTTGATTAAGCTTATTCAAACATAGAGAAAGAAGCTGATACGATTTATGTTTTGGCCGCACGTGATCGTTTATTTTCATTCACCCTCCTCTGTATGTTATTTTCCAAACTGATATCAGTTTATAGCAGCCGCGTTAAACTGCAACCATCAAATACATTTATTACAAATAAACTTTGACATATTGAAATGAAGAGTTTCTTATTGAATTTCCTGATAGTACCTCCAGCTATAGAAAGCCACCTCCAGGTTGAAAGTCAAACGAATGGGTCATTATTAATTAAGCCAGAGTTCCTTAGGCGTTTATAATATCATAAATTGAAAAACCCTCTATGTAGATGAAAATATCTCCCACGTAGCTTAAGGTATCATCTCTGCGCAAGTAAAGCATCATCTATGATCATCTGTCTGGATGATTAAGAACCTGGGGAAATCTGAGGCGCTCTATGTAGGGTGTTGCATTACAGAAAAGGATCAATGAAAGGGAAAACGACATGGAATAGATACAGTGAGACAGACTAAAAGTCCCGATTTCACTCAAAATCTGTGTGATGGGTCAGAATGTTTGTTACTGTCATGGGACAAGACGTATTTTGGATTGACGCTGGGACTTTGCCCTCTCTTACAAAGGAGTCAAGAACAGCTCGACAATGACGATCGTCAAGTCAACACAGTGGGGGTATTTCAACACAGTGGGGGTATTTCCGTGGATCAGAAGAGTTTGCCCTGGACACGTCCACGAAACAACACACGAAGCTGATATCCACAGCCTGCTGCCGCTGACAACGTTATAAAAGCAAAGGTCATATCAGATTGAATTCGATGTTTACGTGCACATATTTTGACAAATTGAAATGAATCCCAGAAGGATCGATGAAGTTGATTCCCGTTCTCTTCCCAAATGACAATCGTTGAAAATTGAAACTTTTTGTAATTTTGTTTCAAAGTGGCATGCAAGAAATATGGTGTGACGATGATCGCAGAAACACACACACACACGCACGCACGCACGCACGTGATACATGGTACATGTAGAGTCAGTAAGGGTCAGTGGTTATATGGCGGCGATCCGTAAATAATCGATTCTTGACGAGACAATACAGTCATCAATAGCATCAGCATCGATCTACGCAACTGGGATACGTCAACCAAGTCAGCGAACCTGACCATCCAATTTTGTTGGTCGCCTTTTACGACAAACATGGGTTGCTGAAGATCAATTCGAATCAATCAAACTCGGATCTTCATGTGTGAAGAGCAAAAGTCTGTGATCAGCATCACTTTTGTCTTTCGTCCGACAGTAAGCTGACATGCTGTAATATAACTGGGATAATTCATAGCTTTAAAAAAGCGGCGTTAAGCGCAATTAACTCAACCAGTATCTAGAGTGTTTGCTCATCCCCGAGTTTACATACAGACATGTTCTCGAAGAAATATTCAAAACTGTATAATCGAATATTTCTTGGGTGTCCAGAACTTGTCTTGAAGGACAATCCAACATTTCCCACAACCAGCTTTCACAGTTTCTTTGATATATTGATACCAATACCAAATCAAGATATTCCAATAATCAGGTTGAGACGATGTTTGCCGAAAACCATCTGTCAGTTTGTCTAACAGAATCCATATAGCTCTCCCCGACCAGGAAACTGAACTAAGTGTATTTGTTAATCTGTCAGCAAAGACAAGGGTGACAGATAGCTTGTCCGTTACACAACTCGTCTTAAGTGGGCTTTTGACTGAAAATACCAGATGACCTTCCAATCGCCACGAATTTGTTCATGTGAATTAAATCTATCACTGCATCTTCATCGCATTTCAGGGAGAACATATGGCCAGGGCGCATACTGGTGTTGAGTGTTCTAGGAAGTGGGTCAATTCTCTGTATCCTTACTCTTCGTGATCTCTGACTTTGGTAATCAATCACTGCAATATAACATGTGTTGTAGAGGGTAATCTAAACATTATGCTTTCTGGTTGTATTTCACAAAGGTATTGAAGAAGGTTGTTGTCATTCCAGTGTTTGAGTGAGTGAGTGGTTTTAGTTTTACAACGCGTTTAGCGGCATTCAAGCAATATCACAGCGGCGGACACCAGAAATGGATTTCAAACATTGTACCATGTGATGAATTAATCCCCGGGTCTTGGGTGTAGCGACCGAACACTTTATCCAGTAGGTTACCCCACCTTCCATCATTTCAGTGATTGATTGTTGAATGATGATGAATGATGATAATGATGATGATGATGATGATGACAGCTGTATGATTAAATAAACAGTACAGAAATTTATAAACGAAAGGAATAATGCCCAGTGTATTCTTTGTTAATAGTTTGACTTACTTCAAATAAAATGCCAGTCCAGCGTATTTCCATAAAGGACATTAAACAACACCATCTCATTCATGCCGGAAAAAAACATAAATCAATTGCAAATACATGTTAAAAATACAGTCACATTGCTTATTTTACTACTTGACATTCCATCAATAGAAGCAGACTAACACGTTTAAGTTAGTGGGTTTGGTTTTACTTTGCATCCAGCAATATTCCTGCAATATCACGGAAGGTGACAACAGAAATGGGCTTCACACATTGTAATCGTTTGGAATCGAACCCTGGTCTTCGACGAGTGAACGCTTTAACACCTAGGCTACCCTAACGCTCAACAACTTATTGCATTATATGTCATTGCTTTTGAGTGAAAAGCTGAGCCTTCAATATTTTGTTCACCAAATCCTTTATAAGAACCACTCACATCTCATCGTATCGCATCTATCGATGCTAATGATGTCATTCTGGCCAATGATCCGGGATATATTTGGTCTTCCTGTAATTGTAAAAAGGTTCCGCGAACCGGATCGGTGGGTTAAAAAACCTTGATCTGGGTGCTACTGACTGACTGAGTTTGGTTTTACGCCGCTTTTAGCAATATTCCAGCAACATCACGGCGGGGGACACCAGAAATGGGCTTGACACAATGTACCCATGTGGGGATTCGAACCCGGGTCTTCGGCGTGACGAGCCAACGCTTTAACCACTAGGCTATCCCACCGCCCCGATCTGGGTGATACAAGGCATCATGTCCATAATACTTAGGTCGAGGTTCATGCTGTTGATTGCTGGATTGTCTCGTTCAGATTCGATTATTTACAGACTGCCACCATATGGCTGGAATACTGCTGAGTGCGGTGTTAAACAACAAACCAAACCATACGGTATTGCCAAAATGTCACATTATTATTGCGTCTGTTCAAAGACTGTGTCATTAACCTTGTTTGAGCGATTGGAAGAGGAAACAAAAACATTTTGTTTTTGCAGGAAAGTTGGCAAGTTTGCAATATAGCTTTTTCAAATTTCTATTTTCTGGTGTTCCTTCACAGGACTTCATTGAACACTGCAGACATCTTTATTTCAGTAACATTAACCAAGACGTAGAAAAATGAAAGTGTCAGTTTGGCAAATATGGCCAATTTGGAATCTGATCTTCGAAGCAATTCGAATATGTTTCACTTCGCAATTTGCAAAGCAGTTGCTTATTGCACTTTTACACGTCAGCACTTATTAAGCACCATCTGAATCAAAGGACAATATTTTAAATTTGTGTCCAAACAGGCAATACCACACTAGTATAATGGTGGTTGATATCATCACATCAATGCCGTTCAAATTCTAATCAGAAACAAACTCTTCATGAGAACTGTGAGAGAATCGGATTGGTGGCTTTATCGCGATGACCAGCTTTCCGACAATGTCTGTGTACCCCTCCCAAATTGCAAGTATATTGTTACCAAATTCCATTTTCAGTTTTAGTATTGTTTTTATCAGTGTTAAATATGTTACGGTTACCATCTCAATACAATGAATTTGGTTTTCAAAGCATATAGGTGGTGTTTGAGTGAGTGAGTTAATATTTAACGTCACATCGGAAATATCTCAGCCATATCGTGACGAAAACAATTTATACAATAAAAAGTGAAAACATTTTGAAGATTAAAACCTGTCGACGATGGACAGTACAAATACTAGATAATCACACATATAATATAAAACTAGCGAGCAAAGCTAAAACATTCAAATTAAAGAAGACAATACAATATAGGTGGTGTTTGAGTTATGTTCATCTGTATATATTACTTTAGTCGAAAATACATTCCTGTAACTACAGATTCTGATATTCTCTTTTGCAATAGCTCCTATGGCTTATTGACATCAAATATAATCTTATTAGCCAAAAAATATATCCATATCACAAGCATCAAACAAAATATGTTAACAATAGAAGATTTTAGGAAAACTGTCAAGGATGTTTTTAAAGTTGAAGAAATTATTGCAAAGAAGAATAACGCTCTGCCTTCATTCCATGCAAAGTGGAAACATTTGATCTCTGTATTGCAGTCTTAATGTAGTTGTCTCATGTCTGAATGTGGTCTTTTATCAGTACTCAGTACACAGCTTATATCCGTTTTGATGTCCATACATACTTATGTCAACCAACAATGTATTGCTGCTATATATAAATTACATAAAGCTGTTATTCATAAACAATATATGTATATATTTGTACACACCCAATCTGAATGTACACCTACTGAATTGAAATGAATAAAAAGATTTAAAAACAACACCTTAAGGCTAATGTATTTGGCCTTGTATTTTTAAAAATACCCAACCTTACACACGTGTATATCATCACAACAACTGACGACATTATTCTACTACAGTTAGCCCATTACCAAGAACAAAATGTTTAAACGTGAACATTCCAAACCAATATAAGTTGAAGCTGTGTGTCACAATGCGAAACGCTTTACGCTGCTTTTCGAAGCTTTGAAATAGTCCAGTCTTTCGCGGCATGTCAGCTTACTGTGGGACAAAAGAAAGAAGACCCAAGTGAGAACTGAACGTCAGCACACCAGGCTTGTCGTAAGAGGCGACTAACACGCCCGCTGACTTGGTTGAGACATGTCGATGCGTCTTACATCGATGCTCATGATATTCATCACTGGATTGTCTGGTCCAGACTCGAGTGTTTACAGACCGCCGCCATATAGCTGGAATATGGCTTGAGATGGATCAAAGAAACCCCATTATGACTGGTATTTTAAAATACACGTAGCAAGCACTAAATACAGCATATTATTTTTCAACCACTGAGAGGTTGAAAAGCGAACGTAAAGCACACCCCTTTCATCATTCATCATGGCAGCCAAACATGCGATAGACATTGAAGGGCAGATGACACAAAAACTAACATGTTTTTCTTCTAACCACCTGAAACGTTACTCGTTCAAATAGAGCAATATAATCCTTTAATGATAATTTGCAGATCGTGACAATGGAGCTATAAACCTATTTTCAGACGCCATCGTTGGCTCCAACAGTGCCTATTAGAAACACAAAACACATAGTTTCTACCAAAGTACATAATTATCCTCTTGGTGATGAATGAGTATAAACGTTCTGACCACTTATTTCACTGTGTAGGATCCTGGTGTGTTTGCTATTTTCGCATTTATTCAAGACACACATTTTGCTTTGAAAGGCTCAGCCGAAAAAAAGGTTTCTTTTCAAAAGAGCGCCATACTAATCTTGACCTGAAATTATTCGATCAAGCTTTCAGCATTTCGGAAAAACTTCAAAACTTTCAAATGCAATTTGCTATTTTGACGTGTACCATGCTCTCGCGAGTTTTTTCAGCTGAACAAAAAACACCGAAGCACAGGCGGGGCAGGATACACTAACCGTTTCGGGGACACCAGGTGTCATTACTATTTTGACAGTGATTCATTAACACATGCTCATAGTTGGAGTGGAAATGTGAGTGAGTGAGTTAATATTTAACGTCACATCGGCAATATCTCAGCCATATCGTGACGAAAACAATTTATACAATATAAAGAGAAAACGTTTGGAAGATTAAAACCTGTCGACGATGGACAGTAAAAATACTAGAGAATCACAGATATGAATAAAACTAGCGAGCAAAGCTAAAACATTTCAATTAAAGAGGACAATACAGTATAAAACACGGGCTATAGATCGCCAACAACTGAAGGTAGATCACCATACTAGGAACCATGGATGTGGAAAGGGGTTTGTCGTTTATATTTTCGAAAAGCATTGTCTTTCAAAACATACAGCATGACCCGCGAATGACTTTATTTCGGGGCTAGAAACTGAGGCAGAATTGTATTTTCTGGAACACTTACTTTGAGATTGCAGCCCACGCTGAAGTACAGGGACGTGTTATTGGATTAAGAGTTGTGGATTTGTGAACTTGTAGGTTGTATTTCCGCCTGCTTTAATGTTTTATAGCAGGTCGTCTGGATCAGAGCTTAAGGTATCCTTTTGCGCAATGGCAATATAATTACTTCATTCGTGATGTTGTCATCAAAGAGTCTTCACTCACTGATACAGCGGTGGCAACCATGACATGTCGGGCAGGGCGAGGTGATGACAAGCTCAATAACTGCGTCAGTAAAATATCCTTGGTTTCCTATGAACAAGCTGAGATACACTATCAAATAGCTTGACATGTTGGGATTTAACAAGTTTAGCTCAGAATGGATTTGTGGATCAGGAAGAAATAAGAGATTTGTAATCTCGGATGATAATTATTTCATTTGGGCAACTCACTGAGACTTAGACGGAGCTTGAATGTAGACTACCAGGGAAGACAAAACATACACCCACGTTTAGTGGTGTTGGAAAAGAAACAATCAAGAAAATGCTTTTTGGACGAGTATAGTTTCGGCGACTGTTTTCTGCCTTGTAAGGTTTTGATAACATTCGTGAGTTTTTTATCAGATCCAATGTTCAAGTGTAAACTCTCTCTCGCTTGTCAGTTCTGTCTTGTGTTTTCTGCTGACATTTGTCTCGGATAGTAAAGTCATAGCGTTTTATTGAGATCTCAGAATGAGAGGAATGTTTGTCGGCCACTATAGTCCGTCAACTTAACTTTTGGCACCCTGTTTTTCACAGTTTACATAAAACTCCTGAATATTATAAAACACTACTCTGTTCATATGGTAATTGTATACCGTGACCTAACAAGATATCGATTTTAGTAATTTTAAAACGATTATTAAAGATTTTGCCTTTAAACCTGTCATATAATAATTGTAAACTGTGGAGAGTTTTACGAGGGGTTAACGCACCTGATGGAAAAGCCAACAACACTGTAAAATGTGTGTCAGGGTGATATGTACATGCACGGGTATTTACATTAGCACGCTTAAGTGATGTCAAAGATCGTCAAAACGCACAGGTTGTAGGGAAAACGATGTTGTACAGAGATGACCGGCAAATCATTGAAAGAGTTCACAACTTTTTCAAGCACGAGGCAAAGCGAAACAAACCTCTTTTTTTTCATTGAATTTTTCTCCAAAAGACATTTAATGCCAGGAAGATCTGCAAAAGAATATTGCAAAGAGTTATCTCCCATGACACTATTTCAGAGCCTGACGATGACATGGCAGTTAAATCGGGGACCGTCTCAAATCATGCAAAGAAAACAAAGCTTGATGAATTCGATAGAAGGGTTGTGGGGGACGTCATGCGTCGATTACATCAATCCAGTGAGTCCATATCGTCAAGCAAACAGAAGACAACATTGTTTAAAAGAAGACCATGACATCAATGTATCAAAGCATACCATATGCAAGCTGTTGCTCAAATTTGGATATAGATAAAAGAGATCAAGCAACCACTCTTTAAAGACTTCAATGAATCTACTTGTTTAAAATGAATTTATGATGGTTATACAGTCCCTGTAGATTTGCTTGCAGGCGTAACAATGTAAACAAGATGCACGCGCGTCACACCATGTTGTTGGCTGTTCCATCGTATCATTTTACTCCCTTGTATATCTACTTCTATTTTTCATATTTTTATAAGATGGCTTCTTAAGAAGAAGCCTTAATAGTTGACATAAAATTATGAAATTTAAACCTTGGATAGGTCATAAGATATATAGAGCGTATGCACAAAAACGTTTTGAAGGCATTTTTGGCTAAAATGTAAATTGTGAAAACAGGGCGCCAAAGGTTCAGTTGACGCACTATACACGACTATAAATACATCAAACCAATCAGTCATATTTGTAGGGAGTGAATTAGTTGAGTATTTTTGTTTACGTAGTATTACTACAACGCTATAAACAAGCATGATGAATTTGGTCAATGTCAACCCTTGTCAACATTTTAACCGCATAACTACTACCATTTTAGGGCATTTTATGTGTGTATTTTAATATAGTGAGTGAGTGAGTGAGTGAGTTAAAATTTAACGTCACATCGGCAATATCCCAGCCATATCGTGACGAGAACAATGTGATTGATATCAATATAAGAAACAATAAATTGAGAATATAAAAACCTGTCAGCGAAGGACAGTAAAACTACTAGAATATCACAGCTCTTAATTTAAAACTAGCACACTATCAGAAAAATATATCACTATACTCAACAACACAATATAAAAACAAGCTATTGATTGCAAACAACTGAAGGGACCATACCAGGGACCATGGTATTTTAATCTGGACATTGATAAAAAATAAAGAAGTGATGACAGAAATATTTTCCTTCAGTATTCACGTTTGACACGATTATGTATACACATTCAAAATGAACAATGATGACTCGGCTGATGGTTATCCAGTGGTGCGAACAATTAGTACGACAACCTATCCCGGCTTGTGCCTGACACTGAAGCTTTCCACTGAATGATATGTTTTCCTCGTATTGCAGACTTGGCAAACCTGACGTGACAAATCATTAAATCGACCAGACTAATGCTTTGTTTACGATACATTCCTGTGTCTGGCAAAAACCAAGCAAAAGATCGTCTTACTGTTATGCTTGTAGTGACCGCATCAGGCACTGACAAACCTAAACAACTGGTAATATGGAAATTTAACAGTCCAAGATGTTTTGGTAGAACTTTTGATCCTAATTCTGTGTGTCACTGGTATGCAAACAAGAAGGCTTGGATGACAGCACCGATCTTCAAAGACTGGCTTGTGAAGTTTGATAGGCACATGCGCACACAGCGACGACATGACTTGTGATATTGCTGATTGACAACGCCCCTTCCCATGCCTCCGTAGATCTAACCAACGTCAAGCTTCATTATCTGCCTCCCAATACAACATCCCACATTCAGCCCCTAGATGCAGGAATAATAAAGAACTTCAAACTTCTGTACAAGAAGCAACAGATGAAACTTCATCTTGACAACGCCAGCGCAGACACGCCTGTACCACTTGGTATCAAGCAAGTCCGAGATTTACAGAACTCTTGACCCTACTGTTCATCCGATCAGCGTGGAGAGATGTGAAGCAGCTGACAATCATCAACTGCTGGCGTCATACGAAAATCCTACCACCTACTGACAGCCAGATAAGCCCGATAATGAACCGACTGAAGACGTCCGAGAAGTTTTTATATATCTTTCAACCACCAATCAGCCCCATCCTGCTAAATGTGTCTGAAGCATAGGATGTTGAGATATGTAATGCTGTTTGAGATGCCAATGACTTTGCATATAAAAGTTTGTAACAAGTAGAGTATTCAACATCATGTACCTGAGAAAAATGCGCCGATATCCACATTATGGTCAGGTTGTAAGGTTGAGGTGAAATATTTCACGAATCGCATTTGTGCAGTTGTGTTGTAACATGATGTTTCACCCACCAGACGTTTACTCGGGATCTGACAATATACGGGACCAACCACTTGCACTTCTTTCATCACAGAATGCACCACAGACGGAACGATGAGCACTTTCGGGCTGCAGTAGTTAGATCCATTTGCTCGGTCTCGTACCTTTAGGTCATACTTGTATTTAGAATAACTACTTTTCGTTTCAAATGAAGTTTACGGTAATTGAAATTAGAAACGGGAATACATAATCTTAAACAAGAAAACTGAGAGAATGTAAAGTATGTTGGTGACAATACGACTGAGGGCACACTTTAGTGCTTTGGAATACTTATCATGACATTGGGACAAAATATATTTGTCCATAAAGGTGTTTTTACTAATCTGCGTAATTTAAGGGCCTATTGCCTTTTTCTGAACCATGAAGTTAGGAATCTTGAAGTTAACGTATATCATGCAATGGTACCTATATGAGGTATACAGTAACAGGTGCCCCGTGAATATCCGGGTTAGAATTGGTCCTCAGCCACCCATGCTTAAAAAAAGAGATGACTAACATGATCGGGTGGTCAGCATCGCTGACTTGGATGATGCATATAATCATATCCCAATTGCGTAGATCAATGCTCATGATTTTCAGTCAGTGGATTGTTTTGTCCAGAATTGATTATTTACTAACCCGCCGACATATAGCTACAATACTGCTGAGTGCGGCGTTAAACAACAAGGTGAGGTGAGGTAAAATTGGGTTTAACGTCGTGCTTGAGAATATATCGCTCATATGACGACGTGCATGCGTGTGTATGTGTATGTGCGGCTGTTTGTACTAGCCCAGATTGAATCTGGTTTTATAGTGCTAGCCCACTGAGATACCATGCCGTAGTGGAGCATGAATACCCCACTCAGACACATTATACTGACTCCGGGCCGACCAGTCCTTGTTGTACCCATTAATGCCGAACGCCAGGTAGGGACCAACAAGTACCATATTTTAACGTCTTTTGGTATGACGCGGTCGGGGATCGAACCCGCGACCTTCTGCTCTCCGGGCGGACGCTCTAACCACTACACCACGGAGGCGGCCCGTTAAACAACAAACCAACCAGCCAACAAACAAGCAGACAAAATGATGTGAAACCTGTATCTGATAAGCCGATGGTCTTAACATTTCTTGAATATATGCCTTGAAGCAACGACAGGATATCCAGGTGGACGCCACTAAGGTCTTGCCATAATTCACAGATCAATGTTGTCTGCAACCACCCACTCAAGGGAAGCAGAGATCGTCATAGTTTTCAAACTGTTTCTGCTGACTTACCCTACCAATATTCGTTATACAATATCTCCTCCATCAAGCTAACAAATTCGCCTCTTAAACTCATACACCGGGTCCAGTCACCTGATAGTTCCAAAATAGGAAACTGTACAGCCCTTCAGGGCCATATACATCAACGCAGAGCCGTAATTATTGCGGTGTTAGCCCCAAGAGACGAGTCGCCTGATCCAATTAATTCCTTGTTATGATTGCAGGGGAGAGACAGTGACGATCCCAGCCTATAGCCATATGTCTATTACAACCTATGTCAGACGCTTGTGGGGTCAGGCACTGTCCCTGCCCCTTGAGTGACTCGTCTAGGTCAGTGAAGCCAGGAGCAATAATATGTATTGGGCATTAACCATGCATTATATCATCGATCAGTGGTGCTAGTGTGCTTGTCTGATGGCGTCTCGGGCACTGTACCGGGATTGGATGCAATTGGTTGAGTGTCATAGGTTTTGTGATAAACATGAAGGCCAATTTGACGTGTTGCACTTTATTTTATTACTTCAAAATAATCTTCAATGATTTGGGACGTGTGTTTGCTGCCTTCGTATTTTAGTGAGCAAGTTAGGGTTTCGCCAGGCTTTTAACAATATTTCATTGTCATCAGCAGTCATGATTTTGAGAAAAAAAACGCACGTTTTGCTCTTGTGAAACGAACGAGAGCGTGTGGGTGCCAACAAACCAAAGAAAAAGATCCATCGAATCTATTATTCGAACCCACGACTGTCGACTCTTGCCACGAAAAGACTAATAAGCCCAATGCCCACGCGTCTGGATCAGAGGGTGAGATAAGGTCGCGTTTAAGATTACAGCGGTTTAGATATCCCAGTCAGACAAAGTATGTTGACTTCGAGCCAAAGTGTCCTCGTTTTATCCCTCAACGACGACGGCCAGATAGGGCAACATCAAGTACCATAGTCTTTTTTGCTTTGACGTAGCTGTGGATCGAACCACCGACCTTCTGCTCTCGGGGCTGACGCTCTATCCACTAGGCCACAGAGTCGATCTATCCATAGATATCCCGACTATGAAAAGCAGCGAGGGAAATTACAAGTTCGATGTGCGTTTGAATCTCACAGTTAAGAGAACTACCATATACAAAATCAACCTGTTATAAAATATCTGCTAATCGTTAATCAATAATCAATAAATTATTTGTGCCTCGTTGTTATTCCCTCTTTTATCATTTGTCTATTAAATATGATAGACAAATTGGATTCTATCTTATGTACTACGCTTATTGTGTTATGAAATGGGCACTCTTATACTGACCTTGATATGGGCCCAAGGTCAAATTAGCCAAAGGAACGACATTTTCTCCAGGCAACGCCGAGGGCCAATAAGGCTGAACGAAGACCAATATCAAGACCAATATGAAATGACATATATTTATCAATTGACTGTTTGTTTGCAAGTAGTACTAGTCAAGGAGAACAGGAAACACTGGGTTCCTCATCTGAGAAATGACCTTGTCTAACTAATGTCATCACGCGCAAAAACCCTTTGACGGGCAGAGCTATATTTGCATATCCCGTGAAAGTGCTTCCGGGTTCCTGGCATGAGGCAGGCTCATTTGGACATTTTATACAGTCCATTAATACACTTCCCTTACTATT